CTTGATCATGTCTTTATTTGTCACACAGTGTGAGCTTGAGTGCCTAGTATACATCAGTTAAGTTAGAGAGTTAAAATGAACATTGTATACTGGACAAATATATATAGACCGTGAAACCCATGATTCTGGCTGGTGACCTATAGGTGAGATACTGATATTCTGTCTCATTAAGGCACGTTTTAAGCAGTGAATACAGAGTAAAAGTAACAGCAACCCTTTCTAGTGCAACACATTTAATATTCACTGCTGAGAGAGTAAGAGAGTGAAAGATTTATTAACTATAATTTTCAATTAGCAGATATTAGCATGTTTACAGTTCTGTTGTGGAGGCCAAGTCAAGTGATGTGTGGGCTGTTTGCTTTCATTTGTCTCATGGTTTTCATTACTTGGTTCACTGACTGGTTGTTATATTTGAAAGCCCTGTATTCAATATTTTGAATCCATTTGTGTTGAGCTTCTTATTGTTTGAGACTTTCAGTTACATGCGTAACTCTCATAACTTTATAGATTGAACCTTCAGCTCAAATTGGTGCCAAGAAAGCATTTGTAAAAATGCTCTGGAATCAAACACTACTCAGCAGAATTAGAAAAGCAGAGAACAATAGTTTATCAGCATTCACTTCATTAAAAGACAAATGATGAGCTTGTCAATTTTGTCGCTCAGTCAGGACTTTAAGCGTACTTGTTCTGATGTTGCAGCATTCATTTGAATGTAATTAGCCAGACTTATAATACTTTCAGTTTCATACTAAAATATATGTATAGGGATTGGAAAAGACCAGAAAAGAAAACCAGTCGATAACCATACACTTAATTAATTAAGCTTTCATACTTGTATTCTTCTGCAGATGAATCTACAATGAGAGTTGCTGACCGGTTGTTCATATTGCAGCATAGTTTTATGTATATTTAATAGATGGAAATAGTGGTCACATATTTGTTTGTATGGTATTGTTGTTTAATATGTAGGCCAATTGTTAAAATACATTTATTCTCCAAAAAGACTTGATCATAAAATGTCTGTGTAAACACATTTTATTGCAAGATTTTTTTATACATTACTGAAATTACCTCATTACTTGGTAATGGAATTCAATTTATTACTCTCCAGATGTTTAAAAGAATGGTTAATGGAACCAAAACTTGAATCTGACTTAATTAAATGTTGAAATGCATTTGAGTTGCAGTCACTTTGATTTTAGCACACTGAGAAATGGCTTCATTGGATCTGTTGGGAAAATAAAATATATATTTTTAATTGTACTGTCACACACCATTACACACATATAAATGTAGTTTCTACCTAGTCAAATTATAACACTACATAAATATTTCAAGATGAACAGATTCACAATTTTAAATGTTTTATATTTTAGTCTTTTTAATTATCATAGGAATAAATTGAGTGAAACGGAATGATGTGGGAATGATTATCTTTTTATTTTATCACTTAACAAAATAAATGAAATTTTGATGTCTCCCACTATCAAATGTACAGTTATTATTTATTTATTTGTAATATTGACACTTTCCTAACTGATTCAAATTGATAAATACTGATAAACACTCATTTTTGTGTCACAAACTGCATCCTGTATAGATTTAAAACAATTCTGTTCTCTTAATAGAAGATGATTCCATTTAACATTCCATCTTCCATCTTAAATGTAACACTACAAGTCATAACTCCAAGATTCTTTTATGAGTCCCATCTGTCCTGCGAAGTCCAGCTGGTAATTAATGAACTACAGAAGATATGTCCTCATAAATAAAATCAGCTGTGTAAGGCAATTTGTGAACATTCAGGAGTTCTCATTTCATCTCAGGACACACACACACACACACATATATATATGTCCTTAAGGATGAAGTAAATGAAGTAACGTGTCACTTATAGACTTTGCTAGATAACAGGAGGACAGACAAGTCTGTTATCTGTATGTAAAAATGTCTACTTGCAAATCTGTCATAGTAGGTAGGAAATGAGCAAATAGGCTCACAGTTTGTGTACTATATGTCCTTATATGTATGCAAGATTAGAATTAGCACATTTCAAATTATAGTGTATTTAAAATAGTATGCTTAAGGTGCCTAGATGGTGTACAATAAGTATAAATGTAAAAATGATAAATAGCTTTAAAGGAATAGTTCAACCAAAAATTAAAATGTTCACTGTTTACTCACTCTCATGTCATTCTGTCTTCTATGGAACACAAAAGAAGATATTCTGAAGAATGTTTCAGTTGTTTTTGAGATATTTTTCTATTTCATTTTGTGTTTCACAGAACATAAGTACGTTTTACAGCGACATGAGGGTGAGTAAATGATTACAAGATTTTAATTTTGGGGTGAAATATGCCTTTAACATATTTTCCATATTTAGATCCATTCTTCAGACCTTCCCTCACAATCAGCACTAAAAATCTGGTTGGCCCTTTTTTATGTTTTTATAATGTGTTACCGTAAGTTTTGACAAAATAACCAATACTGTAGGGGTCTCTGGCTCCTGATGAAGGGCCGTCATACTGTAGAACACCTCAGTCTGTCACTCTGAGAGGCTCTGAAGTGAAAGTGTGTGATTGAGGTTACCTGTGGCATTAAAAGGCACCTGTATTGTCTTCCACAGTCACATCAGGAGAGACTCTTCACACGACTCTTGCTCTCTGAAGGCTTCTGGAGTGCTTTCACCTCAAATGCGTTCCCAGTTTAGCTGAAGCAAAGTGTTAGTTTCTAGAATCTTGTTAAGCTGTGAAAACAGCGCACAGCTTTTTTCTCACATTCCTGGTTTTAGATGTGCAATTTGAGACGTGTAAGTCAGGCAGAGTTTCTCGAAAGGTCATGAATGTTGATTTGATTCCACGAACAGATGTCGAGACGAAGGGGGCTGGGGGGGATTTTACAGTATCAGGTGTGTATTTTCTGAGCTATTAGCTACTAAAGCAGTAGCACAGCTCAAAACGAATCTCCAATGATGCCTTCACACTGCACTACATTACTGATAATGAATTGCATGCCAAATAATCCCAGTCATTCATGGCTTCCGGGTCTCACCACATCAGTGCCTCTGTAGAAAGTGATTTATCTTTCTCTGGCCACATGCTTTCTCCCTTCCTCACTTTCCCTGTGTTCTGGTGCTGGGGGGCTTTGACTAGGCGAAATCTACCTCACACACACAAATCCACCAAGTTCCCTCAGTTTTGGGGTCTAGCCTCGGGGTTGATAACTTCTCTGTTTGTCACACTGCTGGTTGCTTTGTGAACTCAGAGGGATTGGGGTCTTATCAGTGGTGTGGCAGGGCCAGGGTATCAGCAGCCAACAAAGATTGAATACATCCATCTGACCGCTTCACTGCCCCAGATGATTAAATGAAACACGACCGGTCAGCGATGTGAAGATGCACAGCGTGAAGCTGTGTGGACATATTCGCGTCCCTCAGTAAACATTTGTGACAACCTTTGTTTAATTGTTTACTCCACACATGATAAAATCTTGGTTGATAGCGGGAGAATATCTCTTGCCACTGTGATTTTGACAGTGATACACCTGCAGGGCTCACTGTAGACACAAGGCTCTCATTGGAGCTGAAGTAATATGTAAGTGATGTAATCGCTTCGTGGCCTTCAGCAGACAGGTGCAATCTCATCTCCTTCGAGACACCCACAGGTTTTAAGGATACGGTGAGCTAGGCTTGTGTTTCAGAAATGAAAAAATGAAATGGAGATCTATTTTCAAGAAAGGATGAACCGTGGCTTATATGTAAGGCTGACTCCAGGAGGTTATTTTTCCTTCTCTCTCTTGTAAGGAACAAAATCACCGGGTTCTTATATTACTAAATAAGATATTCTTGGGAAATGGGCCTTAGAAATGAAAAATCTTTATTTTCAGGTATAATAAAATGAATGAGGCTAGAAGTCACAACCTGCGTCTACTGCCTGATATGTCTACAGCAGATTGTGGTAGCAGAACGTTTTCACACGTAATGTAAAAAAGTGAGAAACTAAGCCTGAATGTTGTCAACGTAGATGTGCCTTCATGACATTAGGGATTTTCTTTACTGTTAATACTGGATTATTCACTACTGTGGCTCAAAAGCAATAAGCATTAATTTAGAGACAGGGCCTAGCAGCAGTACTTCAGTTCCATGGGGGTTTAAACTACTTAGCTTCGCTTTCTAAACTTCTTTAATTCATCCAGCCACCCAGATCCAGCAGCACCCCCTTCAGGATGCTGATGACCTTTGCATCTCTCCCCCTATACCCTCCCCACTAGACAGCTCTTATAAAGGGAGTGCATCCCTGAGGCATAGAGGGGGTGCTCACTTCACAAGCCACTAAACAGAAATGATAGCAGAGCTGATGGGGACAAAAGCTCATCTGGCCTTTCTAGGAACACTTCATCTCCCCAAACAGGCCTGTGACATTGGGTTGGATTGAGCAAGGACTATGGAGATTTCCAGCACTCTGAATAGAGTGGCTATCCTCCAGTGACAAAACAAAACAAGAGCTGTTTCATATAGGCTTAGCTTAAGCCTTATCTTTGACAGAGGGACAGAAAGAAGGGTAGGAGAGTGGATGTAAGACAGAGATTTGTAATGTACAAAACAAGGAAGGAAGGACTAAACGGATTGAATTGATGCAGCCGTAGGTAGATCAGCACTTCTTTGATTACTCAAGGTGGTGTGTGGTTAGCTGAAAACAGTAGATGCCTGTCCCACTGGTTGTGTTAATCTCTGTAAACATAAGAGCCATAATTGTGAATATCTAGTCAAAGCATTCATTTCCAATTAAATTAATTAATTTCTACAACCAGCAACTCCTCCACTGCTTATTCTGTCTTATTATTTGAAGAGACTGGAAAGAGAATTATTTATGTTGATTACAAACTGCAAATTCATGTCAATTTACATGTGATATGATGAATTCTAAAGTGTTGCTGTAATGTGATTTCTTGGTTTTCAAACATTTTGAAATTTTTGACCGATCAAACTACCTGTGCTGTAGTTCCAGGCATCAGTGAATGAGGGATCAACTGGGGTGGTAGTGAACCTGACAGTGGATGACAGAGACGACCCCGCCACTGGAGCCTGGAGAGCCATCTACTCCATCATCAATGGAGATCCCAACCAGAACTTTGAGATACAGACCAACCTGGACAACAATGAAGGGATGCTGTCAGTGGTAAAGGTGCGCAATGTATTTTTCAGTTACCTGATTGCCTTTTAATGGTGAAGGCATTAAGATTGCCTTATGTGGCTTGAACCTATAAAGTTTAGGTTATCAATTGAGACCCTACAAACTACTTACGAAGTGTTGATTGTTAACTAAAACTTTAAAAGTTCAAGCCCAAAAAGGGGACCTTCGTGAGCCGCTAATATAGGATTTGCTAGCAAGCCAGTTAACTGCAGAGGTAAAGTGGTTGTTTTAGGGTAGGGATGCCCAATACTGCTCCTGGAGGGCCACTGTCCTGTAGAGCAGAGGTCTTCAACCCTGCTCCTGGTGACCCACTGTCATGCAGAGTACAGCTCCAACCCTAATCAAACACACATGAACCAGCTAATTAAACTTTTCAGGATCACTTGAAGGATACATGGGCAGTTGTGCTGAAGCAGTTTGGAAATATACTTTGCAGGACGGTGGGTCCCCAGGAGCAGGGATAAAGTTTAGCTCCAAGCCCAGTTAAACACACATGAACCAGCTGTTTAAGGTCTTACTAGGCACACTAGAATCTTCCAGGCAGGTGGGTTGAGGCAAGTTGGAGCTAAACTCTGTAGGACAGTGCCCTTCAGGACCAAGTTTGGACACTCCTGTCCTAAAGGGTCCACTTTCTGTAGAGCAGGGGTGTCCAATCCTGGTCCCGGAAGGCCAACATCCTGTAGAGCAGGGGTGCCCAAACTCAGTCCTGGAAGAAAAAAAGAACACGCTGCAGCAAAAATGAAAAGGAAGGACAGAGGGAAAGCTTGAGAGAAGCTGTCTGTCTGTCTTTTTTTATCTAGTGTTATAGTATCTATCGTCTGTCTGTCTGTCTGTCTGTGTCTCTGTCTATCTGTCTGTCTGTCTGTATCGCTGTTTGATTGTCTGTCTGTCAGTCTGTCTTGTTTTTCTATCTAGTGTTCTAGTATCTATCATCTTTTTGTCTGTTTATCAGTCAATCTGTCTGTCTGTCTGTCTAAGGACAGAGGGAAAGCTTGAGAGAAGCTGTCTGTCTGTCTTTTTTTTATCTAGTGTTCTAGTATCTATCGTCTGTCTGTCTGTCTGTGTCTCTGTCTATCTGTCTGTCTGTCTGTATCGCTGTTTGTCTGTCTGTCTGTCAGTCTGTCTTGTTTTTCTATCTAGTGTTCTAGTATCTATCATCTTTTTGTCTGTTTATCAGTCAATCTGTCTGTCTGTCTGTCTGTCTATCTGTCTTGTTCTAGTATCTATCATCTTTTGGTATGTTTATCTATCTATCTATCTATCTATCTATCTATCTATCTATCTATCTATCTATCTATCTATCTATCTATCTATCTATCTATCTATCTATCTATCTATCTATCTGTCTGTCTGTC